CTTAGCTTGGCTCGGCTGTCCTCAGCGGAAGCTGTGCTGCTGCAGGGGTCTCTAGAGTCAGTTCGATAGAAACGGCATGTAGTAGCTGAACCTCTAGCGTTTTCTGCTTGGGTTTGTTATAAAATATTGCAGCAAACTTGTAGCCTATGCTCGTGTGGGCTGTTCTAGAAGGCATGTAGGATTTCAAGTGAGCAGACCTTACAGCAAGTGAGTTCAGGTATAGTTTTCATGGCAGATTATAGAGGGTTGTGTTCCAGACTCGTCACAAATATTTAAGATGCCCATGACTGATTTTTTTTTTGTGCCTTTTAGGATGAAGTTGCAAATTCTGTACTTGTCACACTTTTTGTAATTGTAGACTAACGTCCTCAGAAGACCTTTTTGTTTTATTGCAACATCAGGATATATGTAGCTGTGTGATTACTTACAATCTGAAAATTAAAAATATGTTGAGTATAGTCATATGCTAGTAAACATTTTAATTGTTGTGTCAGTTTTAAGGCAAGAATTTTAGTAATTTTTCTATACCTGAGGAAGTATACACACAATATTTTAGAATACAAGCTATTCAACAGAACAGAGTTTCCAGGAACTTTCATTCCTGTGTTGAATTTTTTTTGCCTTTAGCTGGTGATTTAGGCAGCTTTAAGGCAGGGTTAATGTAGTAATTAACTGGCTTGGTGATTTTGCATATTCTTTCTGTGGGTTACTAGGTAAGCAGAGAACTGCTGTACTGTATCGATGATTATGTGTGTGTTACCAGCATGTCTGTATTGACTGTAGAAGCTTTTAATGTTTGTCATGTAAGAGCATGCATTCATATTGTAGCTCTTGCAGCTTTCTGGTCAACGTAAGCCTTTTAGAAACATCAAGCAAAGCTTAGAATATGCTGGTGATTCTATCATTCAGTTTTAAAATTGGCCTGTGAAATACTTCGAATGCCTGAACTTGACTTTTTTAAAACTTGTTTTATAACTGGAGATTATTAGCGGGATTCTTCATGGCATTGTCACCATATAAGTTGAGGTGGGTGTGGAGGAGACAAAAGGGCGAAGAGTCACTTCTCCTTGTGAGAAAATATTGCACACAGCCTCTGCTGGAAGATTTTAATGACGTTGCAAAGCTGCAGATCTTACAAATAATCTGAATATTATGTTTAGGTAGAGGGCTACTGTAGTACTTTGTTATGTGAAATTTGAGATTTTTTGTGTAGAATATCGCTACAGCTAAATGTCATGGCTCTTCCAAACCTTTTTAGGAGTGGCAGATGAGTCTGTTGTATTGCATTGGTGGCCTGCTGTACCCACTCCTCTTTAATATAGAGGTAAAGGGGTGTGAACAGCGTGTCTCAGCATGATCGGGGTAGAATTTGCTTAGTAAAAACCTGAGATCTTTAGAAGCTTAAATCTGTGGAGATGAAAGCAGGAGCTTTTCGTTTAAACTAAACTCAGGTTGTCTGAAGTTTGATATCCATGTTTAATATGGGTAAAAAAGAGGTACATGTTCCTACATAGCCTTTGGTTCATGACATTGTTTTTTGAAATTTATTGAGAGCTCTTTTGTCCAGAGAGACTTAACGTATACCTTACATAGTTCAATTCCTGGGTAGCCAAGGTACTAAAATAAAACCATTTCTATTTTTTGGTAGTTTTCAAATTGCTGTGTGCGCTAACCTGACAGTAGCAGGGAATGAATATCAAGCTTTCTAGACAAATGACTAAACTTCTGAGCTGTAGTCTTCCAAGTGTTAGTTTCATGTGAATTTGTCATTAACGTTGCTCATTGTTTGCAACTGGATTATGTTAGAGGTGTTAGTGTCCAGCCAGTTTTCTAACTTCTACCAGTTAACTCAAAAGGTATTGCAGTCATTTATACAGCTGGGCAGCAACACATTCTTTTATTGCTAGCATGTGGCAGATGGGCAACTGGAGTAGAAGGACTGAGATTATGTGTCGAAAAGGACCTTAGTTTCACCTGTTCCTGGACATTTTATGTCAGATTTTCCTGAAGCCTTATGATTGTGTAAGGAAGTACAGAACGACACTTTCTGCTGGTTTTTCTAGGTATAGATATCTTCTAATATGGGAGAGTTATTTCCTCTGTGTCTATAGGAGAGCTTAACCTTTGCTTGTTTTGCTTTTTAAACAGGGGTGGTCTGGGATAATATGTAGAAGTATTTTTTAAAACATATTTATAAAACATTTTGGGAAAATAAGTGTTCTTTAAATACATATGTGTAAGTCCATCAGATGGGAGATGTCTATTTGGAATAAAAATGGAGTATTCTGAGTTCTCATATTCATTTGTTAATGATGTGTTGATAACTTTATGGGCTCTCACTATTACAAAAAAAATGGCCACAATTTAGGATAGTCTAAGGAAAAACTCATAAGCTTCAGAAATTACCTAAAACTGTGCTCATGCTTCATTTTTATGCCTATGATAACAGATAAGGGTAAACTCGCAATTTTTCTTTTCTAAGATGCTGCAGAATCCCTGTAAGAATTGTGGCATAAATGTTCTCTGGTGCATTGCTTCCTAAAATGTCACGCTTCTCACAGACACGCAAAGCTTGCGTTACAGCAAGGCAAAAACAGCTGCAGTGCAGTTGGAGCAGTGGGGTTGTGTGCACTGGGACACAGAAATAGAACTTTGTATTTTAAGTTGATTTGTATATGGCTACGAAGTAGTTATATGGCTCTGAGGATTAGAGTTTGTGAAGAACTGCTTAAGTATTTAATTTGTAACTTTTTTTTTGCAAAGGGTACTGCCCGCAGAAAGAAGAAGGTTGTCCACAGAACGGCTACAGCAGATGACAAGAAACTTCAGTTTTCTTTGAAGAAGCTGGGAGTCAACAATATTTCTGGAATTGAAGAGGTAATTGCTTGAAAGGAAAAAATACTTTTCTATATAGAAATATAAAATGTATCAAGATCAATTGCCTGGTAAGTAACATCATAAACTTGTCTGTAAATTATTAGTAGGTCTTTATTGAGCTTTAAGAACTCAAATTTCCTGTTAACTTGAAAAATCTTGCTAAAATGCTTCAAACACTGAATTTTTTTCTTGCAGGTAAACATGTTTACCAACCAAGGAACAGTCATTCACTTCAATAACCCTAAAGTTCAGGCATCTCTGGCTGCTAACACTTTCACTGTCACCGGCCATGCTGAGACAAAGCAGCTGACAGAAATGCTTCCTAGCATCTTAAATCAGCTTGGAGCTGACAGTCTGACCAGCCTGAGGAGATTGGCAGAAGCTTTACCCAAACAACGTAAGTTGAAACTTGAATGCATTTCATGCTGGCAGTATTTGTATAGCAGCAGTGAAATCCAGCGCACTCTTGCTGTCTGCAGGCGTATTATAAAATGCTTGTAAAGAAATGGATCTCTTGGATCTTATTTATAGTTCAAATCCAATGGCGAGCATAACTGAATAAAGCAGAGGCACCTGTCAGCAGATGGCACCTGGTCTAGGCCTGGAAAGCTGTAGCCAGACTTGATTTTATGGTCGATAACTTCTTGATGTGGCTACTATATTTTGACATACCTCGTTAATTAAAGCTAGGAAGATAGCTTCTCTGGAAGAGTTAGGTTTTAAAGAAAGATAAATTTTTGAGTGTGTCTGTTCTGACACTTTGAATGGAAGCATGAGTAATGGGGAGAAGGACTTGAGGACAGACATCTTGCAATGGCTCTGCTGCTGCACAGGTGTTGTGAAGGTATTTCTTGCATGGGCTTTTTGATGGCCAGGAGGGAATTACACAGTATTTGTAAGGAAGTATGTTATAATTTCTGTGTGTGTAGAACAGTGTAGAGAATAGGACTGGCATGAGCATTAAGCTAGATACCCCAACTTCCTATCCATTGTGCTGGCTTTGGCTGGGTTAATTTTTTTTTCATAGGAGCTAGTATGAGGCTATGTTTTGGATCTGTACTGAAAACAGTGTTGATAACACAGGGATGCTTTTGTTATTGCTGAGCAGTGCTTGCAGAGTCAAGGCCATTTTGGCTTCTCACACGACCCCACCAGTGGGAGGGCTGGGCATGCACAAGAAGCTGGGAGGGGACACAGCTGGGACAGCTGACCCCAACTGACCAAAGGGGTATTCCATACCGCAGGATGTCATCCTCAGCATAGGAAGCTGGGGGAAAGAAGAAGGAAGGGGAGGGTGTTTGGAGTTACGATGTTTGTCTTCCTGAGTAACTGTTGTGTGTGATGGAGCCCTGCTTTCCTGGAGATGGCTGAACGCCTGTCTACTGATGGGAAGTGGTGAATGAATCCCTTGGTTTGCTGTGCTTGTGTGCGTGGGTTTTGCTTTACCTGTTAAACTGTCTTTATCTCAACCCATGAGTTTTACCGTTCTGATTCTCTCCCGCATCCCACTGCAGGGAGTGAGCAAGCAGCTGTGTGGTGCTTAATTGCTGGCTGGGGCTAAAACACAACATCCAACCTTAAATTAGTAAAAGAACATGAACACTTGTTCTTCCTAAAACTGTGGAGAGATGTGCAGGAGGGACATAAGTATGTGGTGTTTGGAAAAAGTGCTGCCGCTATAGAGTGAGAACTGAAAGACAGGCTTGTTGACACTGTGAACGTTCCCTGTGTCCTGCATGTTAGGTCTTCCTACTTTTCTGAAATACCTTAAGCCATACCTTCCAAGGTGTGGAACATCCTAAATACAGAGAAAAATGGGAGAAGTCTATCATTGTGTCCAGTTTCTGGTAGTTCTAAATGGGTGTTACATTTTTTTTCTTCCTGTGCTTTCCTGCCATCAAGAAGGACTCTTATTTCTATTCCTAAAGTTGATGATGCTTCCCTCCTGTCAAGCTTCCACTGAAAGAAGTCCTGCTAAAAGTATTCTTGAGGAGGTGGGGTAAACTGCTTCTTTCCCCATGGAGCTCAGGTCCTTCCTTCCTAATGTCACCTGTGTGGCTTCCTTGTGGTAGTAGTAGGTCTTGAAAGAAAAAAAACACTTGAAGGATTTAAAATGATCCCCTAAGATCACTCTTCTCATTACAAGGTGGGTATATTCTGGGTAAGCTAAATTGTGTAGTTTTAATATTAGGGAAGCTTGTTTAAAGTGCTTGCTTTGTATGATCTAGTAAATAGCTATTCCGTTCCACTTTGGGTGGATGCCAGAGTAGTTACACAAAACTTTCCATTCAGCTTTGTCTGCTGGATTTGGAAGCCTGACATCGAAGAGTGAAGTGTCTGTGATGATTGCATTTGTAGGTGCTAAAGTAAACTTAGTCTGGTCTTGCGGATGAGAGAGAATGCAGACAATTTAGGAGGAAATAATATGGTTTGCTTTTAAAATGTCCTATTTGACACCAAGGTGCACTTAAGCTGTAATACCATTCTGCTGTTAAAAAACAAAAGAAGGGTTAGTGATGACCTTGTCCCAAGCCCTTTCAGACCAAAGCTTATGCATCCATCGGGTTTGGTTCCCTGTAAATCCAGGTACAGGTCTAGTATGAACCCATCTCTTTCTTCATGCTTTTCTTGAAAACCGAGAAGTATTAATTCAGATAAAACTGAGGTGGTAGAGAGTATGAGACAGCTTACCCTTGGTAGTACAGCTAAGAATAGCAGTGAAAGTAGCGGCACAAGCACCCAGGGACCCAAGATACCTATTCTTAGCATTATACTGCTGCAGTTTCATAGATGCTCACTGGTCTGCTACAGTGGACATGGTTAAGTCTCACTAGCTCTGGCAAATACAATTGGAATGGTTAAGAAATTACTGACTCAGCAGAGATGTGGACCAGAATATATGGTTACCTTGACCACCTAAGTGTAAAATTGTGCATCCAGTTCCGTATACCTCTGACTTTGCCAGGGAACAATAATATCTGTCTGTCTCATCATGTGTGTCTGCCTGCAGATTCACAATTACACCTGAGTTTTCACTGAAGGCCTAGGATCATCAGATCATTAGGAAAAGGCAGGCCTTTCTTTTTGTTAAAACTTGCTGGTGTAAAATAGGTAAATCTTAAGAAGCACTGAGTAGGCTGTTAACGAAGCTGCTTTTAAGGGGAAATGGTAAAATTGGTCTCTGCACTTGTGACTGAAAGTGATTACCATGCAAGGCACTCGGTATACTTAGATAGAAGATGGTGACTAGTAAACTGGTTTAGCATTTCCCTGCTGGGCTGTTTGAGCATTATCAGTAATAAAGGGAATGTGAACTTCCTTGGTAAGTTGAAGATCTTTATTCAGCAGGGGAACTGGATAAAGCGCTGCAGTTTACCTCAGACCAATAATGTTTTTAAAAAACACAAAGCAAAACAACTAATAAAAATGTCTATGGTGAGCTTGACTGATGTTTTTGAACTATTTGCTCTTGCAGCTGTGGATGGAAAAGCACCACTTGCTACTGGTGAAGATGATGATGATGAAGTTCCAGGTAAGAACAACCATGCAATGGAAGAAAAGTGAATTTTGCCGAGAGATAATGTGTAGTGTAAGGTTGGGCCAAGGATGGTAAGAGTATTGACTAGTCACTCACTGTCACAGAATTCCTGTGGGCAGATTGTTTCATTGTTTTCAGAAGACAGTTGGGAAGAAACTACCTTCTCAGTATCACTTTGCCCAGTTGTCGGTATAGTGAAGTTAAATGCGCATTATCGTGAATGTTAAATTGTGCTTTATAATGAGCCATCTGAAACTTACTTGGTTGAGCAAGAAGAATGAAGTTATTTGGTCTGTATTTTATAAGCTGAAAGTTTTTTATGTTTTAAGCACTTGATATGAAGTAGAACTTTGGGGGGAAAAAAAAACCAAACCAAAACATCTGGCAAAGTGGAAGTAGGTCAAACTTTTAATTTTAGCATTCTTCTCTTTCTAGATCTTGTTGAAAACTTCGATGAAGCTTCAAAGAATGAGGCAAACTGAACTGAGTGTCACTTTCTGAATAAAGTTAAAACTTGAAAAAGCTATACGGAGCTGCTATTTTATATTGTGACTGCTTTGATTTAATTTTTATTTCCTGATGAGATCTCAAGATCTGTGATATTTGGAAACTCCTTGAACTTGCAGCTCTTTAGTTACTGCTTGAACACAATACTATTTTTGTGGCCTGATTGAACAAACCTATGCTTTGAAATAAGTCGGATTGCTAATAATCTTTGCCTAGACACAATTTTTGAGTAACTTGTATAGAAGCAAACCCTCATCTTTGAACTTTGGCATACAATAAAAATATAAAGTAAACTTTCTGGTGTGGCTTCTTGTCAGAAAAGCAGGGTGAAAAAATTTGCCATAAATATTAATCATAAAAGGTCTTGCTTTTCTGCAGAGCGTCTTCCTTTTGCTGTGTTAGTGGCTTCTAAAAAAATTTTTCAGTGCATAATGGAACATTTTAGACTTGATTGGTAAATTCCCAGTGTTTGCAGGTCAGAGCTGCATATGCTTTAAGTCACTTTCTGAATTTAAGAAATAGATCTTATTCTAGAAATAATTATTGGTGGTTTAATACAGTGTAAAATGTGCAGGTTGAGAGAGAACTTTGCCTAGCCTTGAAGAACTGTGGCAAGCTGTTGGCATCCTGGGGGAAACTAGATAGTAACGTTACGTTTTTATCTTCAGGGAGTGTTTAATAGGTATTTCCAGGGTGTAACTATTTAATGAGTCTAGTACTTTCCCAGTATATTAATTTTGCTTATCTGGAAATCTCAGTTATGTGGGGGAATGAAGTATATGAAGAATGAAGGGGGAAAAAGCCTTAACGGAATTGATAATGGCTTTTAATTAAGTCTGTATTTAGCATCTTCAGATCTATTAACTAATAGTTGTATTTGGATGTTTCAGGAATCTCTGTTTCTACGGCTTTTGTGTGTTCCAGAGAAAAAGAGAATTTCTTTTTTGGGTAGAAGGAAGACTTCTAAAATTTCAGTCTTGACCTTTGCATAGCTGGGGCTTCCAGGGGTGAGAGCGAAACTTCATGTCTGGGAGTGTTTGGTGTTACTGATAGATCAGATAGCTTCTGTAACAGAAGCTAAGCTAGGATAGAAGAGCACTTGACTACCAGCCTTCTAAAGTTGTCTCTAGAGTAAATACTTCTGGAAGTGGAAGTTTATCCTGATTTGTGCAGGATAAGATTCAGGGTAAAACTTTGCTATAGCCATAACATAAAGTTCTCCTTGTGCCTGGGAAAAGGTGGGGCCGTGTCTGACTTGCCAGGCATGTTTGTCATGATGTGATTGCTGTTGGGAAACAGTGGAGGAACTTGTTCAAGCTGTGCAACTCCTGTGGCTTGAGGTAAGACAGCAGTCTGATGTGAGCGTGACATGGCTGAAGTCAGGTGCAAGAATGTACTTTAACAACTTCAGTTTACTTGTCTCAATTTGCAAGTATTTTATCAGTAAATTACACTTTTAGCGTGTAATTAATTGAAATTAAAAAGCGCATTCACTGAAGTGTGGCAATAAGGTAGAAAAACTAAACTATGCAAACTTGAGTTTTGAAACGAGGATGGTGACTTTAAGCTAATTGCCCTGTAAAAAGTGAAAACCAAATTCTATGAAGTTGTTTACCATACTTCCTGTTACCTGTCAGATCAATAAATGCATGCTGATTTTTTTTGAGAAATTGATAAATGTGTTGCCCATTGTGTGACTCAAATACTTAAGTCCTTAGAAATACTTTAAGCCACTGTAGTCCTTGTTTATGAAATGTTTCATACTGGTTTCTCTCTCATGAAATGAATTAGTGTGTTTAGATGATCTAGGTAGTGTTAGCCTTTTCCCTACTAACAGACATACCTGGTGCTTGGTGCTTCGCAAGGATGTTCTTTTTTAAAACTATCTTTGAAATGCAAAAGAGTGCTAATCTGATAATAAGCACCCATGTGACATGTCTGTGGAAGTCCACCTGCTAGGTATGCTCCCAATCAGGAAATACTGGCATATCTCAGCACCCCCAAACTGTGACTGAGGATCACGATAGGATTGAAATGTGTTCTTGATTGTAGCAGATTTCTAACTGGAAGTTCTCTTGTTGAAAGTTTATAGTAGTCCTCATGTCTAACACCTACATGCTCAGTCCTGGACTCAATGTTGTGATTATTTTCCCTTAGTAAGGAGTCTGGTTATGGTTTTCTTAGTCTGTCATTAACTGCTAGAAACTGAAAATAGTTCTATTGATGTTTTTCATTAGCTTGAACTTCTATGTAACCATACTGTAATTATGTATTACAGATTACATCTGTAGTCTTGCTCAAGGAAAATAGCTTCGTATCTCCATTCCAAAACTTGGACAATGGAGAAATGGAAACAGATGCCTGCAGTTTCTATTGAAACAAAGGTTTGTTTGAGCTTTTTATCTTCAAAAAGCTAAGGGAATGTTCTGGATCTGTCACATGAAGCTTTCTGACAGCTTGACTCCAATGCAGTAGTGGGTAGTACTGAGATTTTTTTAAAATTTTGCAACAGGTTTTTAGAAATATCTTCATAGCTGTTAATCTCATGCCTTAAGGGCTTTGCTCTTGTTTAAAATTGGTATATTCTAATAAAAAAAAAAATTAAAATTCTTTTGGAAGATGGTGAAACTGTGTATTTTATTAAGCAAGTGTGTGTGTGTGTGCATATATAAAAAGCTCCTTACTATGGTCTTTAAATAACACTTTTAAAGGCCTGGAAAGCATCTACAGATTGGATTTTTTTCTTTTTTTGAAGTGTTTTGAGTTTGAGGTTTTGTCCCTTAGGAAATGTTCCCAGTGAGAATTTCTCATGATTAGTAGTGTGCATTTAATGTATGTGACCAAGGAAGATCACTTGTGTTTGTTTAAAGTGTTCACAGCTCAGTATCTCAAATACCAAATAAATAGTTCTTTATTTTATTATGTTGATTTGCTGGGGTTATGGAGGAAGTTCATGTAGCTCCCACCTACTTCTGTGAAATTTTGTGCTAATAATGTACTTTGTGTGGAAAATCATATAGCTTCCCTAAAGTGGTTTCCTTTCTCTGCTGAAAACTTAAATGTCACATTATGGTACAGATAGAGTAACAAAGGACACTTCAAATGAAGAGAATAGCTTGTATTTGTTGTCAGTGGAAGAATTAAAAGAAAAACATGGTGTGATCATAACAATGGAAAAAAGGAAAAAAGCTTGTGTGTGTGAAAGTTACAAGCAGTGGGAGGTGAGTGGGGGGAAGTTAGTATTTTTCAAGGGAGGTGGGGGCAGTAATTGAGAAGCCAGAACATGGAAGCTGGTTGATCATCCTCTTTGTGATAATGGGTTTTAACAAGTTAGGAAACTAGAGAGTTAGTATTTAGCACAGTTGGGAAAGCCTGCCAGGAAGTCTGTGTTGGTGACTACAGCCTTCAGTGACTGGCAAGATGGTGGTGTGTGTAAAGAAGAGAGATTTTAAAGGTAGATATTTTAAAATATTAACAAGTACTCAACATGTCTTGGGCTTAAAGAAATATATGCAATGTGGTTCCTGATTTTTCTAAACTATTCTTTGTTCCTTTTCAGATCTAGAGTTTCAGCTGCATCCAGCAATTTGTGAGAGTTGCTGAAAATGTTTTCCGCTGGATGTGATAGTTGAATGATCCTGGCCTGTAACAGAGACTGAACTCTGGGAGGAAGTCTTTTTTACAGGAAAGGAGCTGACAGTGCAGCTGAGCCAAGCTTACTTAGCTAAGGTGAAGAGTCTGTAGCATGAGGGGGTATCGTGTTTAGTTTGACTGTGAGTCAAGCTTGGTAACTTTAAATAGGGATAAAAGTGGATGCATCTAGAATCTCTGAGAACCAGGAGTATATCTATTTCTGTGTATTCTAATCAACTTTAAGCTGTGGTTTCTTGGTAGTGTAAGCTACTTGCAGTCTCATGATGAAAGTCTTTCATTGCTGTGTTAATATTCTGCCTGGATTATTGTTAGAGAATAATGTTACTGACTAGAAGGAAGACAGCTTACATAATACTTTTACTGTACTGTCTTGCTATGGTGTTTTTTTCATGAGAAATAGATTTAATAGATGCGGCTTGTGTATTGCCTTTACATTGCAGTGAAGGTACCCTGGCAATGAAAAAGCCATATTAGGAACGTTTGTGTAGTGCACGGATTAATAATACCTTTACAGATGATTTCAGCCCAACCTTTTGCATTACTAATGAAACTGAGCAAATCAGAGGTTAATTAGTGTTGTAATGATGTAAGCACTAACCATTATTTTTATTGTATATGTCTATTATTTCTTATATAGGCAGAAGGCAGAATTTTAGGACCTCTTGCTGCTATTCAGATTCTGGGCTGGTTGAAAGTCAGTTTGATCATGCAGCAGTGCTTTTACTTTTGATGGCCAATAAGCAACATTTGCAACACTTTCCACACACAGTAGAGGATTTGATGTGCTATGCAGGATATTGGTGGATAATGGTGGAAGTATCTGCTGTACCTGAAATCCCTATTCCACATTTCTGTTAAGTATGAGTACTGGTTTTTGGGTGTCTTTCTGGGTATTGGAAAAAATGTAGATGTGAGTTGTGCCCTACTCTCCCGACTTTTGAGAAGGATCCTGAAGTTGAGTTGAACAGGTCTTACTTTCTTTGGTTGGAGACTGCTGCAGTCGTTTATGGAGCTGCAGCTGAGTTAATGACTAGCGAGCTTGTGCTGGAACATCAAAAACTTCAGCCATGTACACCTGAGCAATCTCCTGCTTCACAACCAACATATAACTCGTGGCAAATATTTGCACCTGTTTATTACCACTGGGTTTAAAATGTTGCAGTAAGATTAAGCAATAAAATTTGAAGGTGTTGGAAGTATCTAGTGAAACGGTAGGAGCTCTGGGTTTAAGCCACAGGTCCAAGAACTGTAGCTAGTTCTGCTGTGCTTTCCTGTTATTTCCAGCAACTGTATCAGGCAATTGCAGAGGTAACAGTATGGCTTCAGGGTGTCTCAGCAGTAGCATTTTGTGGGCAAAACTCACTGTTTTGCAGTGAGTTCCTAATAACTATGCATAAGTAAGACTGCCACCTTTAAGGACCCAGCTGAGATCCAGGAGGGCTTCTTGCACTCTTAACTTGTGACTGTGCAGGACAAAGATAATGTAAAGATGGTTGTATGGGCCAAAATCAATGCTAGATCTGTGACATTAGTGTTTGACATCTGTGGCATTACACATCTTTCAAGTGTAACTGGCAGTCACAGTAGAATGATGTTGGTAACGCATGTGGTGATTGTCTCTTCAATACTGTTGCCTCTG